AAAAAAAAAGCTGAGAACAGGTGAACCAACAGACTACGTAAAATGGATATCTTATTGTGGCAACAAATCGACAGATAACAGATTGGTAATAATTATAAAAATCAGTTTTTGTAAAAAAATGCTGCTACTATTCAATGTTTCACATGTTTTCTTTACCTCAAATCTTTTTTTATCTTTATTTAGTTGTACTTAAGTCTTTAACACCAAACACACAGAAATACAATTTTTATTATTATTTTTTAAATTACATTGAAAAAAAGATTTTGTAGCTGTTTAAAAAATTGAAAACAATTAAACGATAACTTTAAACAGGTGAACAGAAAAGTAAGCAAATAAAAATTTTGTAACAAACGAAAGTTACAACCCAAAAGTAATTGTTCCACTGCTTTTTGTATTTGTGAAACAGCCTCAATAGCTCAAAAAAAGAAACCTTAAAAAAACTTTCTGAGACATAATTTTCATTTATTTTATAAAAACTGTCTCGGCAAAAAGTCACAAATTTAAAAACTCACATTTTCAATGTTTTCCTATTTCTATTCTTAGTGATCTTTTTACACGTTCTCACGTCAAATTCAGTTTCCAAAAAATATTTTACTTATCTTCAGCAAAAGGTAACCCTGATTTTTCGCCAAAATTCGTTTTAAAATTCGTAATGTATTTTTTTTTCAAATTTTTTATTTAAATTTAACAAAAAAAACATAATTTTTTAACAGTAAAGTAATACATAAAAATATGAATGATACATACTGCATAACACAAAGAAGAAGAAGAAGAACATAACAGAAGAAAAACATTGGACTATACCTAAAAGCATAAAGTATATTTATTAACTTCTTGGCTAACTTCTCTGTCAACATGCTTCAAAGTTTTAACTTAAATAATCATCTTAAAATTTAGTTTGTCTTAACGATTTGTAAATTTGAAAAAAAACGTCACGTTTTGGTTCTAATTGAACTGAATGTTAAATGAAGTACTGTACAGCTTATTGGCATTAAATAATCTTTTAAATTTTCAGTAGATCTTATTATTCTATAAGTGTTCCGAATATTTTGCTGTTCTGTAGTAAAAACAAACTTAATTTACCACCTATATACTTCTAACAGATAAAAAATTATTAGATGTAATTCACCAGTATATCAGTAAATGATGGCCGTTTTCCAGGTTCTAACTTTAAACACTTTTTTATCAAATGTCTGGTTGTTTTAGGTAGCTTGCTGGGAATAAGAAGGCGAAGTTTACTGAAAAAAAAGCAAGGAATTTTACGTTTTTTAAGAGTAATTCGTGACAAATCTTTGTTTAAAAAACTTAAACTCACATCAGACAACTTGAAAAATAAAATTACCCCGTTGGGACGTTACGTAAGATTTGATATGATGAATAACCACTGTAAGGAATCTCTTTTGTTAGCATTTCCCAAATTACCACGCCAAAACTCCAAACATCAACCTAAAAATCAGCTATAGATTCCGCTTAAGACATTTAAAAGATCTAATGAGTAAGCTGAAATTGTGCTTAATAATACTACAAAATGATAAATTTAGCGTCAAGTTTTAAACATATAAAATTTACTTTATTTGAGCCTCGACGATTGCAAATTAATTCTGGAGCCATATAAAGAGGTGTACCACAAACAGTCATAAGATCAGTTCCAGTTTTTTCCCAAGTGCGAGACATACCAAAGTCGCAGATTTTTATTGTGTTTTTTGACATCTTTTTGCTCCAAAGAAGAATGCTAAAATATTAGAAGCCTGAACAGCTGAGATAAAAATCTGTCGTAATAACTAAGTTTAAAAAGTAGCGCCTACTTAGCAGGTTTTAGATCACGGTGAATAATGTTATTTCGATGTAAATAATCCATTCCGTCAGCGATCTGTTTCATCCAACTATTAATCGCTGCATCATCGACTTTGAGCTTACTGTTGTGTATCACATCTCTTAGAGATCCGCCTTCGCAAAACTCCATAATAATGCAAAAGTTTGGATTTTGAGTACATATTCCTCTGCAAACTTCTTATTAACGGTTTAAAAATGATGTTGTAAAGCAGATATAAAGTATGTATTTTACGTGTATCTAGAAAAATCTAACTTTGACAACTGCTTATATGCAGTGAGTTTACAGAAAAGTAGCGTAGACAACATATAAAACTAACAAGAACTGGACTAAATTTTCATGGCTGAGAGACAGAAAATGAGAAATGTCTGTGTCCTCTATAGTGAGAACTTTTTTAACAGCGACTGTTGTTCCATTTAATTCGCCTTTAAACACTTCACCTTCGGCACCTTTTCCAATGAGAACTAAGTTTGTAAGTAAATCATAGGGCACTTCATGGTCATCTGAATCAAGTTTGTGATTATATAAATGCATTTGAAACAAGGCCGACTTATTTTCTGTATGCATCTGAAGAAGTCGGTCTAGTACAGATTCAGAATCGTGACTGCTGACTTCCAGACAACGGTTAATCAAAGTTCTTTTACAAGCAATGTCGACAATAGTCAAGACTTATCGCCAATGTAAAAAAGTATCTAGCAGTTTCCCAGCTGTAATTTTTTGACCTAGACAGCCCATAAAGTATTTTTCAGATTTGTTAATGTTGATAAAGAAAAATAAAACAATTACTTATAAGAGATAAAAATTCTACCGATTTTTTTTTGTTTACCTGAAAAAGGAGCAATAGTATTTGTGATGGATAATTGTCTTTGGACGTCATGAATGATTTCCTAAACAAAATAAAAAGTTGACGTTTTTAAATTTTTTGGCTAATTTCTGCTTCTTACAATTACTTTTGCCCAATGTTTGCTGTTCAAGCCAAAATATACTATTGCTTAAATTTATTATCTCAAAGATAATCAGAAGCAGTCAGAAATATTACTTCTCTAATTAACTTAAAAATGCACTTGGATTTCGACTTTTTAGTAAAGAATTTTTTAATGCAATTTTTAAGTTGTTAATAAGTTTTTAAAAGAACGTAAAAACTGTTTCTGCTGAAAAATCAGTTCTAAGGACTTTGCGTGAACGACAGACTGTGTGGTAAGTAGCTGTTTTTGAAAAATTTACTGCAAAATACTAGAAGAAAAAAGAAAACAGTGAAGAAACGTTTACCCTCGGTCGGGTTTCTGGGAACAGGTCAGCCGCGTTCGCGACAAACCTTTTCGGAGTAACAATTTGCTGGATTTCATATAATTCATTTAATGGTTTATCCTCAGTGCTATTCTAAATTTATTCAGTTTGTCAGTAATGTAAATAATAGTTTTACTGCAGAATTTTTTAATTAAAGCATCTTTTTCAGTTTAGTAAAAAAGGCTCTTTTTCTGTAAGATATAAGGCAGAATTTTTAGAAACTCTCAATCAGTCAGCGTTTATTCTATAGTTTAACTAAGACAGACGCTAGAAAACAATCAACAGTCACAAAAATCTCTAGTGTTAGAAAGGAAAGAAACTAAAAAATATCTCTAAAAAAATGGTTTGGAAAAAAGACTACTTTTTAAAAGTTGGTCTAAGCTAGAATCAACTTCAAAGAAAGAATTTTTTTAGCCGAAAATATGTGAAATAGGCAATTTCCTAAACTTTACCTTATTAGTATTCGCGACACCAACGCTTATCAAATCTTCCACCCATGTATGATGCAAACCGTTCGGTTGAACTTTGACTGATGAAAGATGTAAGTCGGCAACCTGAAGAATCAAAATGTTTATCTAATAGTTAATTCTTACTGCTTTCTGATCATCTATCTTCAACCCTTGTTACAGAAGCCACTTGACGATTTCAGACAAAGTTTCTGGTTTTAAATCAACTTTATCAGTTTCAACAAATTCTTTTGCACTTCTACAACAACTAGAAAACACATAAAAAATTGCAGAAATAAAAGCTGAAGTATTTTTAGAATAAAACTATTTCTGATATCACAAATGTCTTTTTGAGCTTAGATTTTTTAGTAGGATATTAAGTCGAAAAATATCAAGACCATTTTATTACGCATTTCTCACTACACTTATGTGTCTAAGCAATAATAAAAAAATAAAAATCTTTTTATCTATTTTTTAAAAATTTTATGTTTTTGTTTTAACTATCGCAAGTCATGACTATTTACAATATTTAAAAAAACGGCAACTGCAAAGTCATTTTAGAAACTGCAATTAAGCTACAAAATTGTATTATATTTAGTTTTATCTGACTGTTAATTAATGAAATAATTACAGCTAAAAAAATGCAATTTTTTGGTAGTAAAATACTTTTCACTTTTCAACAAATTTTCAATTAGCATAATAAAAATTTTACAAAGTCGAAGTTACTTAAAAATTACAAGTAGGGGATTCAATAGACCATTTCCGGCTTTTTCGCTCGTTGAAGGCTCTACTGCATCAGTTAGTTTCACTGTTGCTGCTTTATCGAACAGTAACTCCTTAAAATCAGATAAAAATTTTGTTCTATTTCAAGGTTTCAAAAGCTGTTACAAGTGTCTCTTCAAGTCAATGGTTAGTTAGACTGAACTTTTTGCTTTAGAGACGCTTTCAAAAGTTTGACGCTACAAAATGTTTATTATGAACAACTTCAGCAACAATATCATACTAAATTGCTCGTTGCTTAAAAACATTTATTTAAAAAAGCTAGTTTTTCTACAAAATTTGAAAATATAGAAATGCTTATAAACTTCGTTTAGTTTGTCACTTCTTTAGAGCTTTAAAAAAAGGAAAAAATTTATTAAAATATCTATTAGGTATTTACCTTGTGATTGTCATTGTCATCATTTTCACTCAGGTTTTCTTCAGAGAAATGTCCCGGTTCAGGAACTTTCTTCACAAGTGAAATAAACAAGTCACCTGTCTGAATTACAGAGTGTATTACTCTTAAATGTAAGTGATCTAAACTTTGTGACTGTTTATTATCTTTTACTGCAAACTGAAAAGCTGTTCAGGTGATGACTAAATTACAGCTCATTTTTGATACTAATCTACTCCGTTGTTTTTTTTTTAGTGAAAAGTTTTGTCAAGCTGTTACAAAAATTACCACGAAAAAAAAAAAACAAGGAAAACTTTAACTTCTTCAATAAAGTTAGATGAGGTGTAAGATAACATTTTTTTATGAAAATTTCGCCATTGTTGTGACAAAGCTTGAAAACGGAAACAGAAACTTTACTCTATGTTTTCCTTCAAAGTAACTTTTTACTAAAATTAGCGTAACTTTTGTTAACTTGAATTTCAAGTTAATTCGGATTATTATTTTTATGGTAAATATGAATTAAAGGAACACGTGACGAATGTTCTATGGGAAAAACACCAAAATACTTTGAGTATTTGAATAGAGTTTTGAGTGTTAAATGTTAAATATTTGGAAAGATTTTTTGTTTTAAAGAGAAATAACAATTAGATAGAAAATGTTCTTAATTTCTTAGGTTTTTTATATTAGATTTTTTGTTAGAAAAGATTTTATTTCTTATGTCGTTTGCACGACACTCCTACAGTTGCTTCCGCTTCTGCATCGTTGTTGTTTTCAGCTGAAGCTTTTATCGGCTTTGGTTCTCTCTTTGACATTTTGGTGGACAGTAAAAGATTCTGCAAAAAGAAGTAATCATTAAGAATTATGTCTGTCTTGGAGCTATAACGACTGTGTTACCTTCTTTTGAGACGCCATAGCAGATTCATCGTCAGTGGAGGTTTCTTGATTCAAATACTCATCTTTGTTTTTCTGCTTCGCCTTCAACATTATCATATCAAAGTGCGGACTGCGTAAGTAGAGCAATTAAAGTGTTTAATAGATAAAAAAAAGTTTACTGCTTACGAATATATTGAATAAAAAAGTTTAAAGTTTTCTTAAAATTTATTCTTTACTGTTTCAGGAAGTTATTGACACTAATTTGGTTTTGGCTGAAAGTAACATCGTTGTCTGTCACTAACACTGCTTTTTCAAAGTGGTTTTTTTGTTATTACCTTTCCGAGTTGCATAGTCCAACTGTTTCAGATGTAGCTTGATTACATGGTTTACTCAAATGGTTGTAAATTTTGTTGTTTGTACTCGTATACAGAAACGCAGTACATATTTCTGATATTAACCTTTTCTTGTTAAACTTTTTTTTGTTTTAGACAAAAATGTGTTATAAAAAATTGCTAACTTTATTCATTTTTAAAAGGTAAGCAACATTATAAACCTTTCATATAACGTTTTGTCTAGTTTGATTTTAATTTTGTTTTCTAAAGAGTACTGCTGAAAAATGAGGTTTTGGAAGCGCTTGTCTGTCAATAGAACAATAAAAAATTTATAAAAGTATCAGTTTCATTAACTGAATTAAGTAAGTAACTAAATGAAATAAAAATACTAAGAAATTTTTTCTACTCTCACTTTGCAGTTGCGTCCTTCCAACAAGAAAATTTAAAGATTTGTTCTTTTCATATCTCACCTATTACGTAAATCAAAACACCTTTTTAAATTTTTATTTGGTTAATGTAGAATGACTGTCTTTATTGCGTAGTGTCTATAATGTATTTCTTTAAAGCTCATAATTCATTTCAGAAAAATTCATTTTTAAGCTTTAGAATTGTGCAAAATTAAAGCTCAAAAATAGCGGCTTTTGATAAACCGATTTTACTAAAAAAATTTAAATAGAGAATAAAATACGGTTAATGTTGCAGTAAAAGTTATTTGGCAGTTTAAAATACTACTTTTAAATTTCCTTTTATTTATTTATTTCCTCATTAGACTTGTGTTTTTTAACGACATACTTTGCTAGACTAGTTTACTGGTAGTGCTACAAACAACAAAGTTTTTTTTTTTT